AATATTTTAATATTATCAAAATCTATGATTTTAATCGGTCGATTTTTTTCTCACATACTGAATTGCCATTATTTGCATATTCGAAACGGCTACACTTGGCTTTGCTAAACACTAATCACCATGTCTCCGTGTCAAAACGAATATATTATTTCTAGAATCATACAAATCTGTTGATCCGTGCTCTTGAAATCGTGAACTAAAATAATATATACATACATACTAAACATACACACATATACATTTTTTTAAAGTTATGGTTCAGAAGACTTAGAAATGTTAAGAAAAGCAAAATTTTACGATTTTTTACCCGACTTACTCTACGGCAAGTTACACTAAAGCTAAAGCCATACGCAACAGACAATATTTGTGTAATATTCGTTATGAAATAAAATTATATATCTACTAGAAACTTGGTATTAAAATTTGGTAAAACAAAGTCAAATGTCTAAAAAAATTAATTAACCTAAAAAAAAACCTTAATTTTTATTGTTCACACCTTTGCCACGGTAAAGGTTTAATTGAGCCTTTTTATCTCACCCACATGTAAGCTATTATATAGAGGTTATATGAAAACATCTGTTGAATATAACTTAAAATTAACAATACCTGTTATAAAACAAATACCCCCATTTTACTTGATTTTACCTTACAACCTTAATTTTATTAAGGTCTCGTGAAGTAAACAACAGTGCTCATAAACAAAAAAACTACAAAGAAAGAAAACTGTTTTTATAGATTTTAAAACATTGCCTTTTATATCCTAATAGTTGCTTGATTCAAACAACAGACAAAATTTGTTTGTTATGAAATAAAATTATATATTTACTTGAAACTTGGTATTAAAATTTGGTCAAAACAAAGTCAAATGTCTAAAAAAATTAATTAACCTAAAAAAACGTTGACCTCTAGAATTCTTTTTGCCTGATTTCTGATCCAAGATAATTACTATATTTCACCCAAAAAATGTTTAAAAATCCTCACTAGCACTCGTATTATATAGTTTAGACATTGTACATGGCAACTGAGGGAGAGTGATAAAGTAGATATTGAATTGGTTTTCTCTCAGCCCATTACCCCGTCTACGGGTACACAGTGTACGGGTGTACGGCAGCTTATGAACACGAGTTCAGAGCAGCTATGACATGAAACATTACTTTGTGCGTAAAGCGATTTGTTTACTTCGCGTACCCGTCATCGAATCCGTCGAAAAGCAACCGGGCCAACGATTCCGATTTTAAGATTCGAGAAAGAAATCCGCGGAAATTAAAAGCAATGACGCGGAGTGAAGGAGTTGTAGGAATCGATACAGCGGGGCAACGAGGTTATGACTCTTGAAAATGGTATGGTAATGGACTAATGGTATTAAAACGAAACTTATTGAACACATAATAAATGATATTAATATAAATACTTTATTTTTTTTCTATACTATTTAACCAACTGTTTTCCATTAAACTTAAATAGAGTATGGCGGGGAGCAAAGGTCCAAATATATCGGCATGAATTACCCCAAATAGGGTAAAAATGGTATTTTGGGGTAAAAAGAACGTATTTTTAATTGATATTTTTTGTAGTTGATGTAGTTGACCGTGTGAGGGTAGTCTCTCTTTGCCAAGTTAGACAAAAATATTGTATGATGTATTGTAAAATGCATCGCATTGTATTATGCAAAATTTCCAGTGAATTCCTAATAATAGAAATGCTTTTTTATAGTAAATTTCTAATGATAGGAAAATGTTTTTTTACCATTTTTTAAATTTATCTCTCTCCTTTTACGCCATAGGGTTTCACTGAATGGTAGCTACAATATTCTATACCAGTGGTCGGGAGACAGGCATGAATTACCCCAAATGGGGTAAAATAGAATTTTTGGAGTAAAAAAACGTATTTTTAATTGATTTTTACTGTAGATGATGTAGTTGACCGTATGGGGGTAGTCTCTCTTCGTCAACTTTGCCAAAAATATTTTTGAGTAGTGATTAAAAAGGTTCCCAGATCACTGGTCTATACCATATAAACTGCATCATATTATTTTATGTAATATTCCCAGTGACTGCCTAATTATTGAAATGTGTTTTTCTTTTGAATTTCTAATTATAAAAATGTTTTTTGACTATTTTTGTTAAGTTTGTCATCTGTCTTTTTTTACCCCATAGAAGGAGTAAAATGGCATAGCCAGTCGGCAAACAGATCCAAAATCTTATTTTTAATTTTAAAGGAACTTTATTAAATATTGGCTACAATATTTAACTACTGCAAATCTAAATTTCATGGAAGCATTCATTACAGAGGTAACGCTGTATGTAACCTTGATCTAGTATTTTGACCGAAATATTCATTAGCAGAGTTGGTATAACTATTAATTAAATGTAGCTTTTGTAAAATTGCTTTTTTATCTAAAGTTTTTCTTTACTATGTTTCTTGCTCACACCTTTGCCAGCGTGAAGGTTCAGTTGGTCCTTTTTACCCCACCCAAGTAAAATTTCACTTAAAAATAACAAAACATACATCCCATGAAATGGTTTAATAACGTTCAATGAAGAATTAAAACTAAACAACAGTGCTCACAACCAAAAAATCTAATAATGAAAGAAAATACCTTTGTTATGGATTTTTAAACATTTCGTGTGCCTCCTTATAGCGAAGTCGTAAAATTTAAGGTGATGGCTGGTAATACAAATTTACCCCCTACTTTTAAATATTGTGGTTAAAAAATCCTAAATTTTCTTATTTTTAAGATATTGGTGGTGGAACTTTTAAACCCCTCTCTACCCTATGTATACTTCATGATGGTTTAACGTATTTGGTTCGCCAAAACAAACCGCCTACATATTTCATTATTATTTATTTTTAAACAGTATGAGAAGTTCAGACGGTGAAAAAACCTCTTGTGTTACATGACAAATGAAATATGAAAACAGAACAAGATTTTACAAAACAAATGCATCGTACCAGAAGCTGATGTATATATAGCAAAAATCGAATCTACAAGAAATCTCCGTAAGACGATTGGCTCGCTCGGTTGGGAATAATGCCCTTGGCTTATTCATTTTGTTCGGGAAAAGAGTAAAAAGTTTTTCGCGTTGTCTTAGGTAAAATGATTTTCTAAGATAATACCCCATTTCTACATGAAGAAATACCAAGATATACATCTCGTCTGATGAGAAACTTAACTTCGATATCTTAATACTGTTATTTCGTCTTTTGATTCTTTTTTCCATTTCACATTTCGTACAAGTTCGCTGTCGCACGAATAAATCAGTATAATCGAAAAATGTTCTTTTATTCTAAGAAACGATTTTACTATGATTTATTTTTGAATTTTGAACGAAACGGATGGAAAATGAAAATTGATAAATGATATTGAAATCATTTAAAACTCCTCTTTACATTACTCTGTTATTATTTTAAGTCTTATATTGTTTTCTATATCTCTACTAATAAAAATGTATGTATAAAATATGTTTACAACGATAGTTATAAATTTCTAAGTAAAATCAAATACTTTGCAGTTTCTTGTTACTAACGCAACCAGAGGAATTCGAACCCTTGTCGTCAACCCGAACTATATTGACAATTGAATTCTGAATACCAATGTTTACCGAACCGAAAAAGAATAAACTGTTGATATGTATTGCAAATTCTCTGTCGTCTGCGTCTGTTTATATCTCATATGTGCTTAGATCTGTTTTATATCCTATCTGATGTGATACACGATTTTGGATTACATTCGGTTTAGTTGAATTTGGAGTAAAACTTATAAACATGGAGAAACGAAGACTGATATGTTGTCGTGAGATTTTTTAGTTTTTGTAGATACGATATATGTTTTAATTAGTACCACAGTATCGATAATATCACAATATTTCAGTAATAGAACCCGTAGGGTAAGTTATTGTAATGGGGCGAAAGTCGAAATTGAAAATTTTTACATTTCTCGACGTTTTGCAGGTTTCTGAACATTTTGGCATACCTCAGAAAAAATGGATGTGTGTTTGTGTATGTATGTATGGATACAAATTTCCAGTCTCGTTTTCGGGCGCACGGATCAACCGAATTGAATGGTTCAAAAAATATTTGATCCCTATTGATAGGGAGATGAGCTGATTAGTTTTTGGCAAAGGCAGGTCCAACAGTTACGGAGATAAAGAGCAAAGAGTGCAGAAAATAGAAATCGAGTTCTTGAGAGAACGGAGCATCCGATTTGAATGATCTAAAAAACATTCAATTAGTAATGATTGGGAGAAGTGTTTATTAGTTTTTGGCAAAGGCAGGCCCAGCCATTTCGAAGATACGGAGCTGAATGTGTAAAAAATGGCAGTTTTTGTGAGAACTAAGCGTCCGATTTAAATGATTCAAAGAACTTTCTGCTTGGATTAACAAAATAATTGATTTTGCAAAAAAAAAATTCTTGTTTCAACTTTTTTTTCTTTTTTTTCAAAAAAAATATTTTGTATATCGAAAATAATTCAGATTTTATTTTTAATTTTGACTATAGTTCTAATATATTTTAAACTAATAATTTCAACTTTGCAATTCAGTTTATATAATTCTTATAAATATTAGACAATGTTACAATATTAATAATAATCTATTTGAAAACATTTAGTATTCAGTATTTATATTTTGTTACGGTACGGGAAGTTCCAGCAATTTGCCTTAAGGCACGATGCCATGCACCCCACTAGTTTTTCTTTTTTTTGCATAAATTGAATTCTTCTAGCTCAAAAAGATTTGTTGCGTGATTTTTATCAAGCATATTATTACGGTCCAACTACACCTTCCTTTGAATATTTTGTCATATAATTTTTTAGTCTATATAGATACACAGTTTGTTTTAATTAGTGCTTACTATAGATGATATTGATAGTGATAGAAATACTCTAGCTCATAGAGATTTGTTACACGTTATATGTATAATATTATTATGTCCTAATTAGGGATATACTTTATTTCATTTATAACAAATATTACAATTGAATTTTTATTATTGTTTTCAGGAATTTCTATGCACAAGGGTTATGCCTTTGTGCAGTTTGGAAATCCATTTGATGCAAGAAGTGCTTGTTTAGGAGAAGATGGCAGGACAGTTCTTGGACAAGTCTTGGGTGAGTTTTTTTTTTTATTTATGAATTTAATCCAATCACTCCGAGCATCGCTAATAGACTTATATGCCCCCTGTGCGTACGAATTTGCTTCTATTGTTCAATATTTATCATTTTACGTTTATTTATTTAGAATTCTTATTAGTTTTTTACAAGTGGAATTCTGAATTTTAAACATATTTTTATTAATAATTATTGGAAACTCTTTGAATATGTTGCGTATCAAATACTTTGGTGGCATGCTGGCTCGTACAGCAGTGTCGTTCCTGCATAGTACATTTTTGCAGTGAAAAAGTTACGAATGATAATGCAGCATACAATGTGTTATAAAAAGTATAGCGAATCTACAATAATTCTTCTCTATCTGCCACAAGAAAATTATTATGTAAGTAACAAAAATTTTGAGCAACACCCTTTTTAATAAATCTCAACGATATACAAATCTCATTCGGCGTGGTAGATACATTGTAGAGTTGTGTCATGCGATATGTTATCAAATTTCCCGCCTCCGTAGCCGGAACTGGGAACCGGAATCGGTACATACAGAAAATTATTCGGACAGTGTGCTCGGATAGCATACGATTGCAGAATATTTGCAGTAATACAACAAATTTATGCAAATGACAGAGATCCTAAATAACACACCGCGCTTTGCTGATTATGCACTAGCTTATGTGAATCGTTTAGAAGGGTCTTGATTTAATATGGCAAGCGATGAATTATTTTTTATTCTTAGAAAGGAAATGTACAGGCATGCAAAGAAAATTTCTATTATTTAGAAGTTCTATTATTTTCCATGCACACGAGTGGATAACGAAAGTAGTAGAAAATATAAATAACATACAAGATATTAATTTTATGAATGTATTAATTACGTTATAAAATTCCAACTCATTCATAAAATCAATAGTCTACATATATATAAAAATAAGTCGGGTTTTCCTTCCTGACGATTTAACTCCAGAACGCACGAACCGATTTCGACAATTTTGCATTCGTTGGAAAGGTCTCGGGCTCCGCAAGGTTTATAGCTAAGAAAATTAGTGGTGCATGGCATCGTGCTACTTAGAAAATCATTGTTTTTTACATGGGCAGTTACACGTTGCCTGCTCACGAGTTAGAAAACCATCCGCTTTGTTTGTGTTAAAGTCAGACAAACAAAACAAATCAACAAAAAATGTGGTTTACCAACGAGCACTTCAATGAAACGGATAATTTGCGAATTCACTTTCATTTACTAGAGAAGAGAAGTTCAACTAAAAAACACTTTATTTTTGTAATCGAAATAAATTCATTACTGTTGTGCAATAAAATCAATTTTTTTTTTTTCAAATATAAAACAAACAAAAATTTTTTCATCTTTCTCACTAAACCATCTGGTGGCGAAAAGGAGTTCGTCGGGTGTGCTAGTTATATATATAATTTCTAATACTAATAATCAAGACCAGATTTATATTCTTTATAATCGTATTCGCGAAAAAAACGAAAATGAAAATTTTTGCATATGTTTAAGTTTCAAGATCTTCTGAACATTTCATCATACCTTAAAAAGAATTGAAGTATGTGTCTAGTATGAGTTTGATTCAAAAATTTTAGAATGCTGATTAGTTTTTACAATGGACTTGGATGAGACAGGTCCTGCTGTTTCAGTGATACAAAGAAAATAGTGTAAAATCTCTACAAATCGATAAAAATATTCACAACAGCACACATTTTTTTGATTTAATAAATTTACGTTCAAATTGCAATTACGCTTTCAACTTTCTCTAGGGTGAATTATAATAATCGCAAAAATCGGAAATGAAACTTTTTATATAAATTTACGTTCCAAAACATTGTGAACATTTTGGCATATATTAGAAAAAATTATGTGTTTGAACGGTTCGAAAAACATTCGATTCCTATTGATAAGGAGACGTGCTCACTAGTTTTTGGTCCAGACAGGTCCAGCTGTAGTTTCTATAGAAACTACGAGGTAAAAACGTTATACTTGTATTTACAAAATGAAGAATTGGCAAAATTATTGTGAAGGCAGGTTTAGCGGTTTCGGAAATCCAATAATGAACTCTAAAAGTAAAATTTTCTCAAAAATTTCCACTTTTCCAGAAATCTCATTTTTTCAATGTTTTCAAAGAATTTTAATTTTTTACTAACTATTAACTAGTGTTAATGCACCACGTTCTGATAATAATTGCTCAGTCGTTTTAGAAAATATTTCAAAATACATCCTCATCTATAATATCTAATGTCTCGTCCAGTGTAATATAAAATTGCATAATCGGTTATTAGTTACATGGAATTTTAAGTTTGCATGGTTATTTTCATAATTCCAATAATTAATAATACTTCCATCAAATGTTTGAAGGTCATTATAAGAACAATCATGTTTCTCATTTCTCCGCCCTCGCTGGAAATATTTCGCATGTTTTCTTTACAAACAGTTTCCCCGCAATCAAAGAATAAAAGCAATAAACAATGACTAAATCGCGCTGTTTCCGCCGAAACGCTACCTCCTCTAGCCGACGACGGGTCCGCCTATTTCAGTCAATGTCAGTGTGAAGTTTCCGTGGAATGGCTTTGCGAACGCGCTATGTGAATCATCGGCGCGATGATATCGCGTGACAATACGGGCCTGTATAATGTTTATGCCGGCCCCGGGGTTTGTTCGGATCACCTTGTACCAGACACCGTGGTATTCCCCCAGATCTGATCCCCAAACTCCGAACATTCCGGCGACGCCAACTCCGAATACGCACGCGAAGCCCCAATGGTCGACGCGGCCGACTGTGAATTCGTCGCTCGGAGGGCTGTTAACGCAATTATGACGATTGTACATGTGAACAATAATGCGTTGAAATTGAAATATATTGAAAAAATGAATATCATGTGAGTACCGTATACCTGTTGTGAACGGTTATGACTTTATTACACTTGCATAGAGAAAGTATTTTTTTGCTATGAAGGCAATGAAGTGTTCATTAATCAATGTCGTGTGGAATGGTGTTATGGCAGATTGGGTTAATTTATATATCATACTGAGCCGAAAGTAAATATTATTAGACGAATTGATTCAAAATACATATGAAGTATATTGAAACATTGACCTGTTAACACCACAAAAAAGAGGAATATTTTGTTTTTCCTGTTTTTAATCATAAACAAATATAAAATTTTTATACAAAAGTTCATACGTCAAATAAAAATCAATTAGGTGCGGCTTCAGTTATTAGTTTAGAACACAATATGTACAAGATCTATGTTTTAAGGCAAGTTGCATTAACTTCTCGATTCTACACATAGTTTATTCAATAAAATTTAAGATTCAGCTATTTAGGAAAGAGGTTTAACTGTTATATCAAAAATACAATTTTCGCTTTCACTAAAAATTAATATATTAATATATTCCAAATTCATTTTTCCTAACATATTTCTATCTGTAATTGTTTAAACACATTTAATTTTATTCATTTCGGTTCTCCAAAAATGTTATTTTTAAAGTGTGGAAGTCAACTGTAATCAGCATATACTTAAGAAACCGGTGCCTGCATATGGTATGGTGCCACGAAAGGCATAGATTCTGCTTAGAATCACTTAAGCGCTGGGCGCAATTCCAAACTTTGTTCATTTTTTTTTATAATTCAACAAGCTTATTGTAGGCCTATAATATTTTGGTATGTTATTTCAGACTATTATCAAATTTATACCCTTACAAAGTTCCATCAAAATCGTAAAAAAAAGTCTGTACAACTTCTGAGAAAAGTAAGAGCATGCGATTGTGCTAAATATAGTTGTAAGGTAGCCAAAAATATAATACTTCAATATTTAATATGCATTGAAAATTTCAATGTATGAATGATGAATTTCAATTCAAAATTCATCATTTGTATTATAATCAAATATAAAATATAACCTGAGTCGTATCCACACATCTCTATAATTATACGAAACAATTAATACAACGTTGAATTTAGCTTCTAGTATATGTATATATATACATTATATATACTATTAAAAGATCCACTTATAATCTGAAAAAATATAATTCACCTGCCGCCTGACCAACCCTAGGAAATTTCTAACCCCTTTGCAAACCGAAGAGCGTACGCCGTGCTACGGCTATTAGTGAAAAATGAATACACCCTCGCGAACCCTATGGAATTCACAGAATCGTATTTTTGTAACTGCTACTAATCGCTTTTTTATTATAATATGATGATAAATTTTCTTAAGAAATAATAAAGGTAAATTGCTCACGTGTGAAAATATAAAAATATAAAATTGTTCTATTGGACATATTCTAGAATAGATAGTGCTAGCTAGCACATTTTTTAGAACTGTATTCAAATTTGTTCAAACTTCAAAACCTGAAAAATTATACGAATAAACTAGATATTTGTTTGAATCGCACCTTTTGAACTAACTAATTCATTCTTTTATTATTAAACTCATATAAACTATATTTTAGCGTACTTTATTACAATACAGTATAGGTATTTTATAATATATAACTTTATCGATCTAAAAAAATTCAATATACCATAATTCAACAATAAAAGCTAGCTAATGTTTATTTTTTGTCTGAAATATACTATTATAATTAAACATTTTCATATCCTTTACTACATTTTTTATATGCTGGTTTTTTCTTTTTATCACTTAATTTTCTCAATACATTTTTTTACAATATAATATATACTTTATTTAACAGCCATCATATTTTTTACAAATTTCTTCAATATTTTTTTATAAAGATCCTACTTTATACACTAACCCTGTTTTTCTTATTTTTCTTATTAACTTCCCGTAGGGTAAGTTATTGTAATGGGCCGAAAATCGAGATTGAAAATGTTTACATTTCTCGACGTTTTGAAGGTTTCTGAACACTTTGGCATACCTCAGAAAAAATGGATTGTGTGTGTGTATATATGCATGGATACAATTTTTCGTTCATGTTTTCGGGCGCACGGATCAACCGATTTGAATGGTTCAAAAAACATTCGATT